CCTCTGCTCACTCACTTATATCCAGCCACGCTGGCTCTTTGAAGTTCCCTGAACATGCCAGACAAATTTTGCTTCAAGGCCTTAGTACTTGATGTTCTGTCCGTCTGGAATGTTCCTCCCCCGGATATCTGTATGGCTCACTTCCTTGTTGACCTCAGGATTTTATTCAAATACTTTATAGAGAGCCTTTTCTCTAAAATTACAGTTGTTCTGCCACCCCCTCCAAATTTTCTGTCTCCCTTCACTGCATTATATTTTCTTCTTGGCAATTTTCACTATCTAAATTCTTTAGTATTTTACTTATCGTATACCATCCCCTCTGCTACAATTTAAATTTCATGAAGGCAACGTATTCTTATTTAGCAGCAGCTTTTCACTTTTTCCATCTCCTTACATAATGCAAATCTGACTTACATTTTTATTTAATCGAACATTATTGAATGCTTTCACTGTCCCAGCACTGTGTCAGGTACATTTGCATGTTTAATTTAATTTTCTCAGCTTACCTCTGAAATAAACATTGTGATTCTCATTTTACAGAAAAAAAAATCAGAGACCAAGAAGGATGTGGAGTCTTTTCTACAGACAATAACAGATACTGAAATGGGGCTTTAAACTTAAGACCTCTAAGTGCATGTTATGTACTTTTCTAATATGCCATGTTGTGGACTGATCCACTTTTAAAATAATGGATTATTATTGTTGAAAGGGAACTTGAAAAGGACTGCTCTTATCTATCCTTCATCTAACTTCTTATCACTTCCCCTTCTCTGTCTTGTTATACTTATCTTTTCCTCTAGCACTAAACTCAGCTGCGACTGAGGACATTTCATTCTCTAACTCAAATTGCATGATTCCCGAGATGTTTTCCTGTGAGTTACTCCCATATGTTTTACATATGATCACTTTTGCAAAATTGGAATGGTCATAAAGGCACAGGGCATATCTTCTAGAGAAGGAATTTAATGATATGATTAGTGAATGGGATAGGAGAACTTAACTGAAAGGTTTAAGAAATTCCTCTCTCTAATGCTTGAGCTAACTCAGAAGTCACCAAGAAAGCTGCAGTTAGAAGGGAGGTGAGCCAAAAATGAGTTTGGAGCCAGGTGATTGAGAATATCCTTAGATTAAAGCCTGGTCTGAGAGGAAATTGGCTTAAACCCGAGACTCAAAAACCAAGCAGCTTGTATGACTGTGGCGTAAGTCATAGACATACTCCGCTTTCTTTGGCCGCAAATAGTCTGGTTTCTTGTAATCTCATTATTTTCTTCTTTATTGGTTTAACTTTTGATGTAAACTGTTTCCACATTGTAAAACAAGATAGTGCTGACCAAATGATTCAAAGGGCACCTTTAATTTTAAATTTCTATAATTTTAAAATCACCGAATTGTTCTAGTTGATTCTGAATCTACACCTAGTGAAAATTAGACCTCTTTATACTGTGCAAATTATACCTTAAAATAATAATTTATATTTTTAACTAAATACAAAGAATCGCTAAGTGCTTTTGGATAAAAGTGAAAATGGTTTAAAAATCTGTTTTATTTCCTATAAAGATTGCCAGACAGCCTCACCTTAAAAACGGCAGCACAGCCTTTGCTTCCAAAGTAACTGGAAGCTGGAAAACCTCGTGGGTTCTTAGATAATAGCTCCTGTTTCCTTAATGTAAGTGAGCTATTTCATGATGTAATATATACCTTCTGGTCACTTTCCATTGGCTGAAGATGAGATTTAAAAAGCCAAATAGATATAAAACATTAAATGACAAAAATTACTCTCTTCTCAAAATGCTGAGTTGATCTTAATAGTTTCTTAAGTAAAACATAATTAGGAAGGAAATCTACCCTCTCCCTAAAGGAATGCATTACTTCCAAAGCAAATCTATTTCCTTTCCATGCTACCTCTCTTTGATTGAGACTAGATTAAATTGTTAGTTCTTTTTATTAGGCAGTTTTTTCAGTTTATTTGAAATGTTTCCTAGTGTTTTCCTCAAATTTTTTACACCTTTCCCTGCATTTTCTTTTTTGTATTTTTCTAAATCTTGCTGTGCTTACTATAATTATTTTGAAGATTAATAAGAAATCAAGTAGTTAAGCTCATATCAATTATAAAAGGCTTTACCCAGTTTTTTTTCTTTAACTATGTTTTAAGAAGCTTATTTTCACATTCATATTTGTATCTAATTTTAAATGCTTACTTGAAGTTAATCTGTTTATCAATGAACTTTAAGAGGAAAAATGTTATGTATTATAATCTTCTCTTTCATTATTAATGAGTACTGGACACTTGCGGTTATTTAAACAGCCTAAGAAAGAGAATGGTCATCAAATTTAAAATGTTTCTTTTTAAAGAAAGCTAAAGCTTCTGCTCTTTAGTCCTGAACAATCAGTGTGTTTCCTGATTGCAGAGTCCGGAAATACTTTACTTTTGAAGCAATAACGGTTATTCCTGGAAAGTTTTATAATTGGCTGCATAGTGATAATGTGGACTTTAAAAAATACAATGGAATAACTGCTGACTTATTTTAAAAGAAAGAGAACTTATTAGGTGCAACAGAAGGCTGGCACTGAGGATTAATCAGTTTGGTATATTCGGTGCTCTTGGAGAAAGACTTTTGACTGGATTCCTGACTGAAGGTATCTTTCCTTGTGCTTTTAATGATCTAGATTTTTACCCTGAGCCTGTGTTTGCTTAGATGCTTTAAATATTATTGTGTTGTAGAATTTGTTTTCTTTAGAAGTCAGGCAAAATGTGATTTTTATGTACCACTGAATTTCCTGGAGTGTGATAACTAATTATGAGAATTAATGAGAAACAACAGCATGACATTCAGTGATCTAGTGGCAATTTTTTCTCTTTTTGATGTTAGCCATTCTAATAGGTGTGTAATGGTACCTTTCTATGGTTGTAATCTGCACTTTCTCTGAAGATAGCTAATGCTGATGAGGGGTGACTGGATTTTAATCTGTTCATCTAGAAAGTTTATTTTATGCTCGTTGAAACTTTGATTCCTTTCAGTTGAGGCTCTGAATAACTTTTATCTATCTATCTATCTATCTACCTATGTATCTGTTTATTCATGGATTTTCAGTCATTATACTTTTTATAATTTATTTTTCCTCTTAATTTTTAAAAAAATTATTGATCCTTCATAATAACATTTGAAAGTACTTAAAATATATATTATGATTTATTAAAGGTTGACAGTGGCCTGTATTGTCTCGTGGTTTTTGTTTTTGGGAAATGAACACATTTAAAATGGGAAAGTGTAATACTGATATCATTAAATGTCAATCATACCTTTAAGTCATTCATGTTTGATAATGTAATTTAAGTTTATGCTTTATCTTATGTAGGGTCTGACTGTCATTTTCCATATTTTATCATTTAGTAGGAAAATGCATTCTGGGTGATAATTACAGGTGTAGGTAAACTAAGTTATTTCTAAATAATCGGCTGAAACGAAGATTTTTAATTCTTTTCCAGGTTCCTGATGTTATCAGCAGCATTAGGCAGTTGTCTAAAGCTGCCATGAAAGAGGATGCCAAACCCAGCAAAGACAACGAGGACGCTTTTTACAACTCTCAGAAGTTCGAAGTCCTGTACTGCGGAAAGGTGACCGTGACGCACAAGAAGGCCCCATCCAGCCTCATTGACGACTGCATCGAAAAGTTCAGCCTGCACGAGCAGCAGCGCCTGAGGATCCAGGGCGAGCAGCGCGGCCCCGACGCCCGCAATGACCCGGTGGCCTTCGAGGTCGAGGGGCCGAGTTCACTCACAGACATTCTCCTGGAGGAAGGGGATGTTGTCAACTACACCCTCCCTGCCTTACCAGCCACGGCCAGCCAGCCCGGGCTGTCCAGCTCTCGAATTTGTTTCCCCGAGATGATTTTGGAAGATTCTGGCTTTGATGAACAGCAAGAATTCCGGTCTCGGTGCAGCAGCGTCACTGGAGTCCTGCAAAAGAAAGTTCACGAGAACAGCCAAAAACCACAGCCACGACGGAGACACGCCAGCGCGCCCAGTCACGTGCAGCCCTCGGATTCGGAGAAGAACAGAACCATGCTGTTCCAGGTGCTTCCCCCGCAGGGTGCTCTTGGGCGGTTCGTGATCCACTGCTAGAAGCAGCTCCTCCCACTTCCTCAGTCTACAATAATCCAGCTTTTATTTCTTCCCCCTTGGGAAACAGATAAGGCAGATGGAGAAGAAGGCAGAGGAAAGGGGAGAAGGGCTGAGAGGCAGACATGGAATGTGGATTGTAAGAAATGAGGGGCCAGGGCAGGGAGAGATGGAGGAAAAAGCAATTAAATAATGGAGCGTCCTGGAAAGCTGGTGGAAGGAGTAAGAGTAGAAGGTTACTCGTAGTATCACCAGCAATTTGCCTTGGGTGGTTTCCTAAATGAAATGTTGCTGTTTTTTAACTAACTGCAGAAGTCAATTTCGTAGGGGATTTTAAGATATAATTCTGAAGAGTGGAGAAGAAAGTTTTCTAGAGAGGAAAAAAGAAAAGTCCAGAGACTCGCAGGCGTATTTCACATGAGAATACACACAAAAGAGAAGGGTAAAGAAACACCATCGGGCTGATAATTGACTGGATCAGGAATTAAAATAATTTGGCACAAGCTCTATTACAGGTGTAACAAGTACATCTGAATTCCAAAAAGTAGTTTTTGAAGTTGTACAGGGTATGGAAAATGTCAAGTTCCACTTAGAAGCGCTTAATTTTTAAGAAAACCCTGTCGAGGCTCTTTAATCTTCAACTTGTAAGATTTGGGTTTTCTTGAAAAAACTGAGTGGCTGTCCTTTATCCTGTTGTAAAGAACCCAGTAGAAGGAAATTCCACGGCATACCTTGGTAAACATTCTGTGTGTGTGATATTTGCTTTATCGGAAGTTCATGAGTTCTTTTGTTTTGTTTTGTTCTGTTTTGTTTTTGATAACTCTAGGCACGTAATTAAAGTATCTAAAGTCTTTTCTTTGGGGACATGTTAACTGTTTCCCCTCTTCAGGCTTTCAGATTTATTCTTCTCCTTAGCCACAGTGTTTGCTGTTAATTTTTCTGAAGTTGTTTATTTTCAAAAATTTTAACTTATTTTCCCAACGGCAAATATATCTTTTTATTGACCATTCGGGAGAAAGTATGATTGTAAATATAATTAAATAATTGGTATTTTTAGAAATCATGAAATAAGAAAAGGTTGCATTTATTTTTGAAAAGACAATCGCTTTTAATCTGGAAAAAAATGGTTTTTTGTCTGTTGTAAATTAAGACCCACTTAATTCTCATGATTTTTAGACAAAAGGAAGAAATGTTATGAGACAGCTAATGTTTGGAGTTGAAATATTGGTCAGATTGGATGGTGAAGCACATGTGATGTGACTATATGGACATAGTATTTGATCTATATTAGTAGTTGAATATTTAATTGTAAAGTAAGATGTTAGGTCCTTGTGAGTTGAAATTAATTGGAATATTTTTGTTTTTAAGGTTGGGCGGTTTGAGATTAACCTTATCAGTCCAGACACTAAATCAGTTGTACTTGAAAAGAATTTTAAAGAGATCTCTTCTTGTTCACAGGTAGGTATTAAAGTAGATCGTAGTATTTGAAGAAACCAACTAAACCTTTTATCTAAATTAAAATAACTGGGCTTATACCTCTTCAAATTTTACTATTTTTCTAAATTTTAATTTTTAAGTGGATTCATCTTAAACTAAGAGTGTACATGTGTTTGTGTCCACGCCAATAACAAAATTCCGTCCAGGTCCCTTAGTATCATAGTAGTTTGTCCTCATTTTCATCAACCCCTTTCTCCTTGTAGCATTACTTCATCAAATTCCTTCCACTGATGGAGTTTTTGTGGTGGGAAGTTCTTTTGAAAATACCTTCGCAGATAGTGTTCCTCGGAATCTTGGGCAGTGGGACTTGTGGGCATCACTGAGTCATGTTTGCTTTTCATACCATGGTGGGTAGCGAAAGGAGAACTAGTACTTTCAACTTCTATTAACATAAATGCTAAATTTTGAAAAGAAGATATATTTGGCATCAATTTCGGTATAGTTTGGTATATTTGGTATATTTGGTATAGTTTGGTATATTTTTGTTCTTTTTGTTTATTTTTAAATCACAAACTGTGTATTTGAAAGTTTTTGAAATAATCGATACAGCTAAATATGTACAAGTTCATATTAGGCACAAACTAATCTCCTAAATACCATAATAATAATTTAGAATATCTATTCAAGAGTTAGAGCTACCTAAACATATTGTGAACATAGAAGGAATTTTTGAAGATATTGGAACAGAGGGAGTACTAAGGTTGAAAATGCAAGGACGCCTGTGAGGAGGTCACCGGAAGAGAGGATTAACCTCTTTCCTAGCAAGGTGACTTAGATGAACCCTCAGGGACCTGGATCTCACCAAGAGCCCTTCCTGTATTTTAATGTTGAAAAATCAAGACTGCCTTTTTATTTCTTAAATTTTAGAGTTAGCATTCCCATAGGTATGATATTCGGACATCCTTCTCTTCAAAAATGACAAGCTTTTGTATATCTTGTTAATTATTCATCTCACCTTCAGTTAATGCTGTTTCACTTCTAACGTTTTGTTTTAATATTTGTTCTGTTATATGGAGACATAAAATTATGTTGTGAAGATAAAAATTTTATACTTTAATAACTTAGAGCATCCCTCTATAAGAAGGTTATATTGAAAATTAATAAATCTTTATTTAAAGGATAAAAAATTAGATAGAAAAGTTATTTACTTTAACAGAAAAAGTATTGAACATTTTTATAATTACCTGTTTACTGGGGGTTCCTGCTGGATTATAAGCTATGTGAGGGCAGGTGTCTTATTCTGTGGTGTCTTATTCTGTAGGGCATCAGAATAAGATACGTTAAGACAGAGCTTAACACTTAGGTATTCAATAAATGTTGAATTGCTATTTCTATATGTAGGGACTTGTGCCAAATACTGGGGAGAGTGGAGTGCAAACCCATGTAGTTCCTGTCCCCCAGAGCATGAAGAGTCATCCTAAAAAGTTGTGCCTATCAATCACCCCCACAGTCCTCAAGCCTTTGAGGACTAGCAATGCTCATTGAACACCTAAAGGAAAAAAAAAAAAAAAGGAGATTGTAGTGGGGAGGGGAAGAACCAGCCAAACCAAATATATAAATATATAAAACTGGCAGTTCAAATGTGATTTTCGATTTTCCTTTTTTTTTTTTTTTTTTTAAGCGAGCTTTCTATTCTGACATTCTGGTCCAGAAAAAGAATTAAACAAAAGATATGGGGGAAATTTGTGGAAATACCTTTGATTGCAATAATTGTCAGGTTAACCTCTGTCCTCAATGAGTGGCCCTGTTCTTATTCCTTGTTTTCACAGAATTGAACTGGTATAATGTGGCCACATTCAGAAATAGGCGTGCTTTTTAAAAACATGCATATCTCTCAGTATTTCTTTCTTCAAAATATGTAGGACTGTGTCCCTGACAAGCATTAGGAAAAAGACAATAGTTTTCTTTTCTGTAAACAGTGCCATTGCCTGAAGACTCACTGAGCCAATGAGGTCCTATGAATTTTTCCTATTTAGTTTTGAACTAGTAGATGATATTCTTTCATCGTAATGAGTTGTACCAGATGGAACTGTCACCTCATGAATTATAACTTCACTCCTCCTTATTGACTTGTTTCTTTTTATCAGAGTTGATTTCCTTTTTCCATATCCATTGGATAGATTGAGCTTATTATTACAAAAATAGTGGTTACCATTTATCAAATGTACCCAAAAGTATAATTGATATTTCTTTGTCCTAAATCTCAAAAATTCCTTATGGTAGGTGCCATTACTACTGTTTTATAACAAGAGATGGAGCCTCAGAAATAATTATCAGCAGCTCAGCATGATGTCTTACACCTAGTAGATGGTTGAACTAAGATTATAGCATAGATCCGTCTGACTCTAAAGACAGTTTTTTTTTGTCATTGTGATTTAGGTTCACTGCAGCACAACTTTAAATTTTTTGCCTACCTGGCTTTTCAAAGTCCTATGCTTGCTATTAAAATAACAAGGTGTTGTCTTCTAATTGATATGTATGTATTCAGGCTGATTTAGATTCATAGATGATTCCGAATTTTTTATGAACTGTAGTTGAGGTTATTTAGCTGGCATTCAGGAAGTACAGTGATTGATTCGTGAATGTGGATAATTTCTTTCATGTATTGTCTTCTAATAGGTATGGCTCCTAAAATGTCTATAAGTAGACAGATATTCTAGTATTTTTAATGCACACTTTAGAGAATTGCATAACATTTAATTAGAGGATTGTCAGTGTAGTTTTCCTGGTTCTTAGCTTCATATAGACAAGAACAGGATTTATGATGATGAATCAGACTGACTGTTCTAAGAAGACCAATAAATTGAAAACTCTATTACTTGCAAACACCAAGTGGCAGTTTTATTATAAGAGACAGTAGATCATGCCATCGTATTTTTCCTCCTGTGGCCCTGAGTTAAAGAGAGTGTTTGTCTGAAAAAAAAAACAAACAAATCTGAGTTTTTGCTCTCACATTTTATTTTATGTATCAAAAAGCCACCATTTAATTTTGCTATGACAATATGTCCCATGCCACAGTGCTGTAAGGAGAAATTCATAGAGGTGTAAAAGCATAGAACTGATGTTGATTTCCATAGTGTTGATTAAAAGAACATGTTCCCATCATACTATACTTCTTTCCCCTCTGCTAGGGTATAAAGCATGTGGATCACTTTGGCTTTATCTGTCGGGAGTCACCAGAGCCTGGGCTGAGCCAGTATATCTGTTACGTGTTTCAGTGTGCCAGTGAATCTCTGGTAAGTGGTGTGATTGCTGTCCCTGTGCTCCTGTCTGCCCATTCAGCTAATGGGGACTCATTTCTTATGAATCCAAGCCTCACAGAATGACTATCAGTGCAGAAGGAAGGGATCTAAAAATATGTTTCTGCCCTTTAAAGTAGCACAGCAATGGAAAAAAAACACAAAAACCAAATCGTTATGGTAATTTTCAAGCCTAGAAATTTCCTTGAGTTTAACAAATCCAATCATGTTATCAGGAGTATTTTTAAAAGGTAGAAAACAACTAACACTAGAAGAGGTATTACTTTTTCCAGTGCTCATCTGAGAAGGTAGAGAAGGCCCTCAACCTCTTATTTTAATTGCTGTAACATCTCAGAGTAGCTGATGCTTATATCGATAGAGCAGAGAATGATTTTTTTTCTTTCTTTCTTTCAATAGTCCCTGTCCTCGTTTTTAAAATACTTTATTCTTTATGGGCTTTTTTTTTTTTTTTTTGGCCTTCATTTTCTTTCTTTCTTTGGAATTTGAAAGTCGATTCTTCTCCCCAGCATTCCCCCACCTCACTCCCGCCCCATTTATGGGCACAGTAAGAGTTTGAGAAGAAGAATACAAGACACATGTGGAAACACATCTGTGTGACTAAAAATATGTTGATATTTTCCTCTAAATTTTTTACTTATTCTTCAACTTGTGTTATCTCTCCTAACCATTTTTAATACAAACCTTATATCACTATACTTTGAAGGAAATATTTCTTTAGATATATAATGCTGCCACAAGTGATGTGGTTTCTCCCAGGGAAACCACATCACTTGGACATGTACAAATAAGCCAGGCCAGATTCTCTCTTTTCTTAGTGCATGGTGCCATCATTTCTCGTAACTCTGGCCTTCCATATTCCCAATGTGGATAATGAGTTTAGAAATAATAAAGTAATGGCAGTGAATTGGTACAAAGGTACTCTCTGACTAGTGCCCTTTGGGTCGCAAACTTTTCCTCTAGGGAATATAATAGCACTGTCGTCACTGTCAATTTCTTACTCAAGAGAGTTCCCTTTGAGTTTTGTTCTCACTCTAACTAATTAACCATACATTCGAAAAGTTCACGTGTTTCTATCCGGGTGACCACTGTGTAATAGGTTCAGTTCAGTCTTCGAGATGAAAATTTGAGAGTTGTTATTATGTGAATGATACTCAAAGGCATGGGAATGGATGAGCACCCAGGGGGAAGTAAGAGAAAGCCAAAGAGAACCTATGATACAATACTGGAAAATGCCAACCAAGCAGGAGTTAGGTAGAGAATGATCATGTAGGATGATCTGCCACCCATGCCACACTCCTCACTCATCCCCTGTCCAGCTCACTCCTCACTCCTTCCCTCCTCTGACCCTCTTCTCATGTAAGGCCAATTCTCATGCCATGTTCTGGATCCTTTACTCTTCTACCTCCCCAAAACCTGTAGTAAATTCTCTATTTTATTTTGGCAGCTCCATTTACCCAAATTCTCAATCTAGGAACCGTAATGCATTCTTTTTCATCTTCTACATCCACTCTTCACTAAATCCTAAGATAGAAATATCTCATATCTATCTCTCCTTTTTTCCCCCCTCTCTGTCTACACTCTGATTATGGGCATTCATCTTCTTAGACTGTTACATTAGTGTTGTAACTAGTCTCCCTGCCACTGGTTTAACCTGTCACCTATCTGCTTTGTACATTATGCTATAGTTTTCTTTCTCACAGAATTTTCTCACTGGAAGCTAGTTTATGCCTCCTTGTTAAGGGACAAAAATTTAAATTGTTTAGCATGGCAGAAGGGACTTCTTCACTCTTGCCCGGTCTCCACCAGAATGCCTCACCTTTTTATGATGATGTCCTCATACATGCTGTTCTGTCCCTTATGCTGTTCTCTAGGCCAGACCTCGGAGGCTGTTGTGACAATTGGTGTGATGTTGCTTTTATCTGGTTTGCTATTGAATCAGCAAATAGATCATGCCTGGGACATATGAAATCAAGAATTTAAGTGAATGGCTAGGACTCGCAGAAGTGCAACTGAGGTTTAGAAGTCGCTGTTGGCTCCTCACATGGATGGAGGGGTCTGCCATGTCAGAGGAGGCCAGCGCCAGGACTCACTGCTTTTATGCTGTCATTTGAGGAAAGTGACCATGTGGGGCGCAAGGGTCTGCCCTGCTACTAACGAAGGACATTGCGCCATGCTTTCTGTTTTCTCGTTCTTTCCTACTGCTTCATTGGATGTGAAGCAGGCCTGCCCTTGCTGTATTGTGAGCTGAATCCACTTCCTCTAATTTTCTACCGTGGACTTTTTAGGATCCAGCTTAGTTATCACATCCCAGTGATGCCTTCTTTTTCAGGAATTGACTCCGTTAGTTGCTCTGCGGTCAGTGCTCTTGCTACACCTTATTCATAGATCTCTTAACAGTTTCTACAAATCCCCACACTTATTTATTTGTCACAACTTTTTACATCACTTGTGAATCCCAAAGGTTAAGACTGTTCATATCCTTGTCGTTCCCTCAGTGTTTCTAGGATATCAGGGGCTTGTAAAGTGTATTTTGAGTGATGGAGTGCATTACTCTTCAGGCAATCAATTTCTGGGTGCTAGTTAATCTCTGATTACTGGATAATCTGCAGGAAAAGGAAGATCATGTATAAACTTATTTCCAACCTGTTTACAAGTTTTGTTTTGTATGTAGTTTTTAGTATGTTCATTTTACCCTCATGCATGTAGAGAAAGTTTTGGAAATGGATTCACAGTAGAAAGTCTGAGAATGTGCTGCATTCTTCTACCCTAAGAAATTCTGTGACTAAGGCAACAGACTAGACTGGCTGAGAATTTCTTCCTTTCACATCGAAGCTGGATCACAGTCTCAGTTTGGGCACCATTATTCATAAGAACAGCCCCATGCTGGAATCTTTGAGACTCTGTTTACTCTAATTTTATCAGAAGGCATCTTAAGTGAATAGTGAGGCATCAGAACTGCAAGCTAGAAGAAAAATTAAATATAAATTTCCTGTATAACAGAGGCTGGCTCGAGCAGCTGACATATGGAACAAAACAGTCAATTAAGTATCATAAGCGTAAGCAGTGTTATGATTGATGTGGCTTGGCAGTTGTGTAAGACAAAGTATTGCAAAACCACACCTGCTGACTTCCCTGAGAACAAAGAATATACAACTAGAATTTTCTTTTGCTTCTTTATAGCAATTGCTATGAATTGATAAATAGTATAGTGTTCTGATGAGACCCAGAGGGTTACACTAGAAACTTGGACACCCAGTACTCACTCCTTCCTGCCTGCCTTCCTTGCTTCCTTCCTTCCTTCCTTCCTTCCTTCCTTCCTTCCTTCTGTAAATAGCTGTAGGCAGGTGGCTTAATTTTGTTTAACTAACCCTTGAGATTTGTAGAAAATATCTTTTCTGCCTTCTCCAAAACTGATTTAAGATGTGTGAAAAAAAAAATGGAAGTTACCATTACTTATAGATAAGGAAAAAATAAAACTCCACTGATGATGCAGACAACGAAATCTAGGAAAAATGTAAAAAAAGAAAAAAAAAAAGACTCAGGCTATTCAGACCCATGTTAATTTTTTCCCAGATAATTAGACTAAATAATCTTTTTAAGTCCTTACACAGTCTGTAATTCTTAGACTTATTCTAAAATGCCATAAAATACTTAAGTTTGGTATATAAGTGTTTATGAGCATTATCTTCACTATGGATTTTCACTTAATATCACAAATTGCCTCTCTTTGTTCCATCTCACACTTTTCACTGGAAATTTACATCTGCCTGGTAGTAATGTTAAGAATACTTCGTTTTTGTTTGTGTATGATTGATTTATCTTTGCCCATTCCTTTACTTTTAACCTTTGAACACAATCTATGATTTTTTTGTTGCTGTCGTAGATAGACTAAAATAGTTAAGTTATTCATAGTATAATAATTTGAACTTGTAGTTGCTCCGATCCCATGATAGAATTCATAGGCTGTCTGGAAAGAAAAATGGCAGATTAAAAAAATTTAAATATTTAAAATTCCAGAAGTCAAATAAAGTTTTTAGTAATATTTGTGGCTGGAAGAAATTGGCAGGCACATTTCAGACACCATTGAAATGGTCTTTTGTTTCACCTAGAAATAGACAAGAAAACCTAAAAGTTTTGTATTTCCATTGGAGGCCTTTTACAAGGCAGTATTACTAAATAACAAATAAGAAACCTATATGAAAGCTAAGCGGATGAGTAACCCCTTCAGTACCTTAAATGAGAAACAAGAAACTAGGAATAAACATCTGCATAAGTGATTAAAATTGTTTTTTTGCGTATATAACAAGGCAAATGAAATCAAAATGCAAAAGCATTAAATGTAGTGCTTTTATTTTAAAGAAGTAGAAATCTTTACTTTTAAAGTATAAAAAAACAAATTTCATGAATGATTCATTTTTATTCATGGAGCGATGTAAAATTATTCATAAGCCTTAGAAAAATTGGTAATATAGTAAAACGTAACTGAATAATGACTCTCTTAGTGTTTGATTTCTTCTTTTAATAGTATTAGGAGAATAAAGTTTCTTTTTATTATTGACTCTTTATACACTCAAATGTAGAAGTAGATTAAATCCCTTAAATATTAGATTATTCTTAATTCAGGCCATAAGGGAAGGGGAAAAAGAGTCTTTCAAAAAGCAGTTTACAAGCATGGGGAATGATTTTCAATATCAAAGCTTGTTCTGATGAGGCTCTTAGTATTCTGTAGCTCTCCATGCAGATTTTAGATTTTGATCTCAGGTAGTATATGGGAAAAGCACACCTTACACTGACATTTGTATCATAGAGAAGGAGACATAGCTTGAAGTTGGTTCAACAGTGCATGGGGATGAGCCGATAGCCTGAATACTAGAATGCTAGATTCAAAATTATTTACTGAATCATTGAGAGAGCAAGGAAGAAAGTAGATGGCAGTTTTTAAGATGCTGGCCTAGTGGTGAGACCGAGCTATTAGACAACATGTCAGAACTTCTCAGTGTCACAAATCAGAAATGAAATGATAATAAATGAGAAGCCATAGAGATAAGATCAGCAACCTCCATAGACTTCTCCAACATTATTTAAATTGAACTCACTTCCCCCCAGAATTTTGCTTAAATACGTTTTGTTTTTGCACTAAAAACAATCCTGAAGGATAAAGTAAATAGGATACCTATTAACACAAGTGAAGAGTAAACCTATTTTGTTGCTCCCTATGTATTGCAGATAAAACTTCCAGAGATCTTTATCTGGTAAACTACTTAATTAAGGAGAGACCTGATTGACTATCAAACTGTGATAGCATTAATACTTAGTAAGATTCAAAAATAGCATTCAAGTAACAGATCAGTATTATATGCATTAAAATGATCTTATTTCATCTAGTTTTCAATTATATGTATAATTGAAGGTCTGACTTCAAGACAATATTTTCTCCCTACCAGTTCGGTAGTCATCAAAATTTCATTATTTATTATTTATTCAGCATCAACAAAATCACACATTGCTGTTGGGATTTTAATGTATTACCATGGATGCAAACTTTTATAGACCTGAGTTTTGTTTCTTCTGGTAGGTGGATGAGGTAATGCTGACTCTGAAACAGGCGTTCAGCACAGCGGCTGCCCTGCAGAGTGCCAAGACCCAGATTAAGCTGTGTGAGGCCTGCCCTATGCACTCTCTGCATAAGCTCTGTGAAAGGATTGAAGGTACAGTATAACTTGGCCTTGGCAAAGGAGGAGTTTACTTTGGCATTTGGGAAGCGAGGAAGTTGCTACTGTCATTGAATGGTTCTTTGTTTTGAGGTGAAACAAGAACCCAAAGAACAGTTTCTCATGTCCAGTCAAATTTGTGCTGTCAGTCTCTCCTAGGTACTTGGCTTTTTCCCCTCCACTTTCTTTCTCTGTCCTTTTAATTTTTAATTTTTTTCCTGAGGGCAAACTCGAGGAAGGGGCTTGCATTTCCCACAGTTCTGAAGACTGTGCTATGTACATAGCGGCAACTGACCAAATATTTATTAAATGAATGAAGAGAGGCAAAACCATCTCAGAATGTCAACTGTTTATCGAAGTCTTTCTTTCTTTCCCTTCTCACTTGGTGACGTATGCATTTTTCCTAAAGTTTAGAACTGGAATGAAACTTGTGTGACTTTCGAAGAACATTTGAAAATGACATAGATAATTGACGTCATGTCATAGAGCAGGTTTAAAAAAATGTATTCTGGTGAGGGGCATGAGGAGCGGTGACTCTGACTCACCTGCCCTTTCTTTTTGTTATCTCTTACTAACAAAAACGGTTGAAAACTACTGCAGGAGAGAAGAAACACAATTTATGAAATACTTGTTAAGCATCCACTATGTGCCATGCAATGTGCTAGGCACTGAGAATACAGAAGTAATTGAGATGTGGACTGTGCCTTAGAAAGTTTACAGTTTAGAGTGGAACACAGGCACATGAGCATATAAATGCAGTTCGGTATGATGGGTGTTACGATGGGAGAATATAAACTCCAGAACAAAGCAGGTCTAGTCATTGTAAGTACAAATTGTGATTTCTGTCCAGTAGGCAGCAGAATCATAGGCAAATGGCAAAACTGATGATGAACAGCAGTGTTTATTGAATAACCATTCAGCTATGTGATCAAAGACTATTTAAATGTAATATTTAGATTTTAAAATTTGTTATGATAATTTTACAGAATGCAAATTATTTTTAAACATATATATAACCTTTACAAAAATGGAACGTTTAGTTACAATTAAAATTATAATTTTACAGAATGCACATTATTTTTAAATATATATAACTTTTACAAAAGTGGAACATTATTTTAAAATATATATATAACCTTTATAAAAATGGTAAAGAGAATATTATAAATCTGTAGAAGAAAGGCCGAATTACTCAGGAAATGGGGTTGGATCAATTTGCTATCCAAAGTAAAAGATTCCTTCTACTTATCCTGCTTAAATACATTGTAGATGGATCAAAGTCCTTAGTGTACACAAACAAAATATCCAAACCATTAAAAGAAAATAAGAATATTATGTCCTTAAACAAGGAAATCTTCATTAAGACTCAAAAATGCAAAAACTATTAAAAGACATTCACAGATTTGACTTTATAAAAATTTAAAGTTTTATTAGTGGTACCAGAGGGAAGTGGGGAAGCAGGGAAGTGGGTAGGAGTGGAGGGGGTCAAATATATGGCGACGGAAGGAGATTTAACTTTGGGTGGTGAACACACAATGCAATATACATATGACATATTTTGAATTGTGCACTTGAAACCCATTTGATTTTATTAACCAATGTCACCCCAACAGTTTTAATTAACAAATATAAAGTTTTTACATAATAACAACTGCTTGCTTGGAAATTAAATGATAAATGATAAATGAGGAGATAACAGATTGGTATTCGCAATTTGTCAGAAGTTTTATTATCTATAAGAAAAAGATAAAACTGTCAGTAGGAAATCATGTGAATCCTATTAAAAAGTACTCCTCTGAAAAGGAGATCCAAAGTGCAATCATAAAAATGAGAGGATACTCAAACTCACTACATGAAGATAACAATAAGATACTCATCAAATTAACTGTTGGTGAAATTGTAAGGGTACATTTATGTGATACTGTTGGGAGTGTGAATTACTATAGCCGATTAGGGGGAACAATTAATAGAAACTCGCTAGCCTAAAATTACACATAGCCTGTTAACCAGCAGTTCCATGTCTTAATAAGGGAAGCTCTTATATAGGTTCAGAAGGTGACATTCTCAAAGTTGTATTGTATAATAGAGAATTGGAAACAACCTAAATGTCCATCAATAGCATAATTGAAGTATGTTCACATAATGTAACAATGGGAATGAATTTCAACTGTTTATCAACTTGAATACAACTTAAAATTATATTATCGAGTTAAAAAATAATTTGCTGAATAACACATATACTTTGATGCTATATCTGGAAAATTTTCTTTGAAACTTACAGAAAAGTTTCAGGGAATTTCTAGATATTCCTCCCCAGCCTCCCCCATTGTTAACATTGGGACAATATTATTATCTAAAGTAGACAGTTCATTTGATCTACACCAGTTTTTTCACTCATGTCCTGTTTTGTTTTGTTTTGTTATTTTGTTGTTTTGTTTTGTTTTGTTTTGTTCCATTAAGGATTCCAGTCAGGATCCTACACTGTGCATAGCTGTTATTTCACCCCAGTTACCTGCAGTCTACAGCTCTTCCTCAGTCTTTCTTTGTCTTTAATGACCTTTACATGCCCCATGAGTGTTGCTCAGTTGTTTTGCCAACTGTCCCTCAGTTCAGCCTGTCTGATGTCTTCTCACCTGTGGACCAAAGTCCCTCCTCCGTGGCAAAAGCACTGTAGAACAGGTGCCTCCTTCTCAGTGTGCGATATCATGGGGCTCATGATGTTGATAAGTTTTATTACTGTTTATGTTGGCCTTAGAGTGGTCTCAGGGATCTTCCACTCTAAAATTACTATCATTCCTCCTGGAATTAAATCTTTTAGGGAAGATAATTTGAATCTATAAAAATCTCTTTTCTCTCATGCCTGTGTCTACTATTTCTAATGTCTATGAAAGGCAAATTTAGCTCTATAATGTTCTAATATTTTTTAAATGTAGAACTTACATTACTTGGGTAATAAAATATAAAGCATATATATGTTTAAAAGAAAAAATGGCAGCAAATATGCCTCAAATGTTAATAGAGTAATGATAAGTAATATTTTCTTCTTTGAATTTTTAGTTTTTAAACCTTATGCTATAGAAATAAGATTTCTGTGCAGACAAAGCTAAACACTTAGGGGTAAAGAAGCAACTTTGTATTTCTTTTTTAAAGTTACATTGTAGGTGTGTTTTAAAATATATTTTTTATTACAGAAAAGAAGTTTTAAACTTTCATACAAGTAGTCTATTAGAAGCTGGTCTACTATCACAGGGAGCTATAGCAGATGAGAAGGACTCTGTATATGTATATAGAGCTAGACCTCAGTTTTGTGGCTCTGAAGTGTTTATAGTTTTAGAGACCTTTCTAAAGAAAAAGGATAAAAGTTATGAATCCAGAATTAGCAGGGCCCTTCTCCAAATCTTGGAGGGACTCTGAAACTTAAGCTTCCTTAGCTTCAGAGTATATGTATATCTGAAGGGAAGGAAGGATCAATGTTGACTGAAAAAAAGATTCACACAGGCTGTTTTCAAAGGCCTTAAATAACAGCTTCTGATATGATTTTATTTAACCCCTGACTTTGACATCAGGTGAAGAGAGCATAAGATAGGGTGATGCTCTTTGATAGTAGGAATCAAAGTAATAACAATAAAGCCTATACTTCTATAGGACTCATTATATCTAGCCACTATTGTGTTTTGCATATATTAGCTCACTTAATCCATATAGAAATTCTGAAAAATAGGCACAATGTTTTTATATTAGATTATTGGTGTGACATCAGTTAATAAAATTACATAGGTTTCAAGGGTACAATTCAATAACATATCATATGTATATTGCATTGTGTGTTCACCACCCAAAGTTAAATCTTTTTCCGTCACCATATATTTAACCCCCTTTACCCTTATCTACCTCCTCCCTCCTCCCTTCTCTCCGGTAATCACTAAACTGTTGTCCATGTCCATGAGTGTTGGTTTGTCTTGTTCGTTTGTTCGTTTCAGTTTTATATCCCACATATGAGTGAAATCATGTGATAGGTACTGTTTTTAATCCTCATTTTGCTCATGAGGAAACTGAGGCACCGAGACACATAGTGGGTAATAACTGCCATATCCACATTGATTGGAGGGGGCAGAACCAGGATTTGAACTTCTTCGAGCTGTTTCCAAAGCAACATGATGCCTTCTCTCTGAGGGACTATCAGAAGGCAGGCATTGTCAGGGCCAGACTGGCTTGAAGCCTGGGCATCTGTGTGTTTCCCAATGAGTCATTTTTATCTAAATAAGATAACAGCATGAATTCTAAACTTGTGTTATGCTTAGGTACAAAGTGTAAAGCTGGAGAAAGGACCACACTGAGATTCAACACAAATTAAGAAGAGTAGAAATTTAGTGAGAAGATTTAAAAGTAGTATATAGATATTATTTCATATCACTTACTGAGAATTATCAGTCCTGTCGATACATTTGGCTACATTATGTCGTTTTTACTGAAAAACGACATAAAAAAAAAGGGTAGATAAATGTGCTGACGTGAGCCCTAATCATCTGTGCCTATGAGAAGTCAGTCTTGCCCTTAAGACCTGGAGAAACAGAACTAGTCATGCCTGTGGACCAGTCAGTCAAGGAGGCAGTATCCAAGGGCAACTCCAGCTCCCAAGGACCAAACCTTACAATGTGATGAAGCTAAAGTGATGCTGAGCATCATGGAGATGGTGTGATTATCCTCAGTCTTGTTTTCCTACCTTAACATGCATGAGGGATAAATAATATACTTGTCTCTTTGTATGAGCAATGCACTAATCAGTGATTCCAAAATGGAGAAAAGAAGGAAGTCAAATGAGATTTGCAGCGGCCGAGGGGGCATGGGTAATTTGAAAATAAACTCCAGCTGTTTCCAATTATTTTACGGAAATAAAGGACTGAAGAAACTTCTTGTACTATGCATGTAGTTACATATTTCAAATAACTACCCTCTTTACTTCTCCCCTTTTTAATCTTTTGTCCTCCTAGGCATTTTAATGAGACACTGGAATAGTAAACGATAAAATAAAGCAAAAACAATTATGTGAATTGGTTTCTTAATATATTGCCTAAGGAACCTCTTAAGGAGACTTTGCCAGCAAATAATAAGCTATGGTAGTGAGTGGCATCACACCATCGAAATGAATTTTAGTGCCTGCTGTTTCTATATGTGATCAAGAGATTTTCACAGAATTTTCTTTTACATTGCACAAAGAAAGTAGAGCTGAGAAATTCTTAGAAGCTGTTCTTCTTTCTGATTCCCATTATATACTGTACAAGTGGTTTAAAATAGGTTAAGTGGTGGCACTGTACACATTCTGACAGCCGTAAAATGAATTCTAGTTCTTTTACAACAATGCATATTTTTAAGTGATTCTTCCTCAGTGATTTTTAAAGTGCCAGTTTACCTGTAAGTTTCACTAAGTATATATAGCTCTTTCTAATCAAAGTATAGTAACAGTAATTTAAGTGGCATCTAACTATATAAAGGAGTTTTGTTCCTTAAAAATGGATGGTCAGTGGAATCATTATAAATATGAATTACATTTTCTCTTTATTAAAATAATTATAAAAACAAATGTTTTCATGGAAAAAGATTTTTTGCCCAAGGATTTAATATAAATTATGTGTAACAATGTGATAGGTATATAAATAATATGATACAAAGAAGTAAACAATTTCTTGGTAAAATAATAACACAAAATGTCACTAATGTCATCTTTGAAGTTTTATTACCACAGAACAGGACCTGTGTGAGGGGGAAGGGATTCCTGTCTAAGATATAGCTCTACTTTTTAAAATTATTAGTTATTCTTTCTTTTTTAAATGTCAAGTTTTATGCTTAGAGATTTTCACCAAGGCTAGTATTTAGCTTTTACTTCTATGTCAGGAACTAGGATAATGTTAATTCACCAAAAATTTCTGTGGTGGCTACTTTGTTACTATATTCGATGGTATCTGATTATGCTGTTGATGTCATGTCATTTAGAAATTTTTATTAATAAATCTGTCTTCAAGATCACTGACAGGGGGCTGTTGATTTTGGTGATGAGGTTTTCCATCCTCATAGTGTTCCAAGGTTTGTTATAGGCAGGGACACATCTTGAGAAGATTTAACTTTAGAGCTGATTGACAAAGGGACAAGCTGCCATGCATTATATGCATTTTGATCTCTGTAGCTACACTCTGTTTAATACTTATGTTCATTATTTTCCTTAGGTCTCTACCCACCAAGAGCCAAGCTGGTAATTCAGAGACATCTCTCATCACTATCAGACAATGAGCAAGCTGACATCTTTGAGCGAGTTCAGGTAACATTATTTCTCATTATTACAAATAAGATATAAAGAATGAGAATTGGAACCTGTTTTTTTAAGTTTCTTTCCTCATTTCTCTATTTAAAGTTAAAGATATATATTCTATTCTACTATCTGATGGTATCTAGAATGCCTGTTTCTTTTGCTTCTAAGAGCCGTTAAATGCTTAGCTTTATTTATGTTTGTCTGCCAGACATAGTGGGAATATAATGAAACAGGAGAAGCTGTGTTGCCATAGTGTGTTCTTGATTTGTCTGTTCAACAGAAAATGAAGCCAGTCAATGACCAGGAGGAAAATGAACTTGTGATTTTACATCTGCGGCAGCTCTGTGAAGCCAAGCAGAGGACACACGTTCATATCGGGGAAGGCCCGTCGGTGAGGAGAGGTTTTTTCCTTGACCTACTTTTGTTTTGTTTCTATATCTAGTCAAAATATCACAGAAAATGAGAAAGGAGTTACTTTCCTTTGTGTTCTCATTTTGAGGGCTAAAGTCCTATCAGATTTATTTTTTGGCATTTTAGCAGTTTTATAGGAAATTTTAGCGAGCCTTGGCACATTGAGAAAAAATAATGATGGCTTTCAAATGTTAAAATATTTATTTTTAAAAAAAATATAAAAATATTAGTAATGTGTGTTCATGGTTTCGAATTAACATGTACTTTTAATTACATTAATCCTTTATTTTATTTCAAATTCACACGAATGCAAGGGAGGAAGAAACTTTCTACCACCCTTCTAGGTTCTTTTGCTAGTTTAATGGTCAAGTAGACATGAGACAGATTAACAATAGATAATGACCTAATTTAATTACATACGAGAACCCACATACATGAGAGGTTCAGAGACCCTATAGACATGAGAGCTTCAGAGACAGAAAGGGACAATGAGAGACATATAACATTCTGAGCTAAGGAAGAGGTAAGACACCCGAGGATTCAGAGGGGAAGAAGGTCATTCAGAGGATGCTAAGAAGAGCAGTTGTTCAGTAATTAGTAGCTGGTCGGTCTATACGCCCTTCATCTGCGCATCTTTGGCTTGCTTACTGAAATTGGCTCAAATCATCTTCTTTAAAGCCTTGCTCTTCTAGGAGTTGACATCTCCATTATGGATCATAGTTCCTCCACCTCCATTCGTTATTTTTCCTAGTTTTGATATTGGAATGTACCGTCTGGCCTCTCATCCTCTCCCAGATTTGTCCTTTAAAAAAATAACTTTGCTGTCACAGTGATGATCAATTTGTGGGATGGGTTGATGGTTGAGAGTATTGATAGTGTTAGAACTGAAGTCCCATTCTTCAATTAGACAATTCTGTAATAGAATATGTGAGGAGTGTTTCATTTAATTATGGCACAAACTTTTATCAAGTACATGCTTCGTGCTAGGCAATGGCGAAGAGTAATGGCAGCTCTTTTTTTTTGTCATCTAACTATTTAGGAGGTGAAGTCAACTTTTAGCTAAATAAATCAAAATGTGAAACTATGATGCGATTGGTACAATGATATAAGTGTATACCAGGTTGAGATAGCACTGGTACATAAATAGATCGAAGGATTTTATCTTGAATATTTTATTTTGTCTCAGAGAGAGGCTGAATTAGAGCACTGGAGAGCTGAGGCAGGGACTGAGTCAGGAGCTAGTTAGAAGATGTGATCATGAGGATCTAGTGACTGACTGGTTAGATATGCAAGGGAAAGGAGAGGGAGTTGCTGGGAGAGATTTCGAGGTTTCAGATTTTGGAGAATTGGGCTAGAAAATACAGAAAGAAGACAAGAGTGGGACAAGGGATGGAAATACGAATTTAACTTAGGAAATGTGTTTGATATTTAATTAGGAAAAAAGGATTTGGAGCCAATGGAGGAATTTGAGTTGATAGTATAAGTATGGAAGACAATGGGCTTTGGCATAGATTTGAAGTCAAAAGGGCATGTATTGAGTAACACCCATATTTCAGGTAATGAGTGAATAAAAATGGAGACAGTGAAAAGAACTGAAAGGAAATAATGGAGTAGAAAGAGACTTAAAAAGATTTATTATAGTAGGTGACCAAGGTAGGAGAAAAGTTGACATAAGAAGATCAACAATGGTCAGTGATATAGGAAAGTCAAGAATCATAAAGACTAAAATCTGTTCATGGGTTTGCTTTTATCAGTCACTGGTGGTGATAGTGATGTTGACCAGAAGGACAAAAGAATGTAAGTTGTGATGTACATCTTCTTTGTGATGGAAGGCAGTAAAGATTATAGAGGAAGAGATTTTTTTCTCTCGTTGTACTTTTCTTTATTATTAGTTTCAAGTATACAGTATTTTGGTTAAACATTTATACAGTTGATAAAACAATCCCCCTAATTGCCTTTCTCTCCTCTGACTCTCCACCTAGCCATTACATTAATGCTAACTGCATTCTTTGTGCTGTATTCCCCATCCCCATGACCATCTATCAACTACTAATTTGTACTTCATTCCTCCAGTCCCCCAACCCCCTCCCCTCTGGCCATCCCCAGATTGTCCTCTATATTTGTGGGTCTGTTTTTGGTTAGTTTATTCTTTTCGTTCCTTAAATTCCACATATAAGTGAAATCATGTGGTATTTTTCTCTGTCTGACTTATTTCACTCAGCATAATAACCTCTAGGTCCATCTATGTCATTGCAAATGGTAAGATTTCATTTTTTAATGGCTGAGTAATATTCCATTATATATATAAAATATAACTTCTTTATCCAGTCATCTGTTGATGGGTATTTAGGTTGCTTTCATATCTTGGTTATCGTAAATTGTGCTTCCATGAATATAGGGTTGCATAGACCTTTATGAATTATTGTTTTGGTTTTTTTTTTGGATAAATACCCAGAAGTACAATTGCTGGGTCAAAGATATATCCATTTTTAATTTTTTGAGAAACCTCCAGAATGTTTTCCATAGTGGCTTTACCAATTTGCAGTCCCAACCGTGCTTGAGAGTTACCTTTTCTCCACATTCTCTTTAACACTTATAGTTCTTTGATTTATTGATAATAGCCATTTTGACAGATGTGAGGTGATATCTCATTGTGGTTTTAATTTGCATTTCTTTGATGATTAGTGACCTTGAGCATCTTTTTGTATGTCTCTTGGCCACCTGTATTTCCTCTTTGGAGAAATATCTGTTCAGGTCTTCTGCCCATTTTTTAATTGGATTGTTCGTTTTTTTGTTGTTGCGTTATATGAGTTCTTTATATATTTTGGATAGTAACCTCTTATCATAAGGTAAAATTATCTTATCTTTTGTATCATAAGTAAATATCTTCTCCCATTCAGTTGGTTGTCTTTTCGTTTTGTTGGTGGTTTCCTTTGCTGTACAAAAACTTTTTAGTTTGATGTAGCTCTATTTGTTTATTTTTTCTTTTGTTTCCCTGCCCGAGGAGATATAGCTGAAAATAAATTACTGTTAGTAACATCAGAGAGTTTACAGCCTATGTTTTTTCTTCTAGAAGTTTTATGATTTGAGGTCTTATATTTAAGCCTTTAATCTATTTTGAATCTATTCTTGTCTATGGTGTAAGAAGATGGTCCAGGTTTTTTTTAACAGTTTTCCCCTCTTTTTCCCTTCCTCTCTCCCTTTCTTCCCTCCTTTCCCCCCACCTCTTCCTTCCATTTATCTGCCTGGTATTTACCAAGCAGTTACTGTGTTAGGGATTAAGTGCTAATACTATTTCTCCCTATTTAGGTTGTGTCATTTCCTAAAAGCCTTAGAGTAACAAGTCATCCCAGTCCTTCATAAACTCCTCAAGCCCAGTCCAGCCCACATGCATATCCATTGTTTCCTTTCCTTCCTTGATGGAGGTCATATTTCTTTTATTAGTAACTTCTTGGACTGTGCTGACGCCTCCAGTCTGGTCTCTCAGTCTCTGATTTCCTTGTTCTTTAGGTGATTTTTAGATACTCCTTTTAGATATATCTCCCCCAAACATTACTTTCACAGGGATGCTCCTCTACTTATAAATTTTGATCAGTGATTCTTCCTTTTCAAGGTTTTATCTCTATCTTCACTTTCCCAAGTTACCTTCCACTGCTTCCCTCTGTTTCAGCCTGACTCCCTGTGCCCTGAGCACTGGTCTTTATGATTTTGCTGACACCGTCCCCTGTTCTTCAACCCCTTTTTTGCTACTTGTCTGAATCTCACCTATCCTTTTCTTCTTGATCACTGAGACCCACAATTGATCTTAATGCTTCCAGGTTTGATGCTTACATGCTGCTTCGTGTTGTTGCTTAATGTAAATATATTCCCTCCCCCAGCAAATGATAAGGTTTCTCTCTTGGAAATTTCCTGGCACTAAGACTCATGTAATATACATAGTAGCTTCTCAGTTCAATGGGATGGAATAGAGAGAGAACTAGCAAAGTGGACATATTCATTGTAGATTCTCATAGAATTTAGCACTATCATTGAATACTTGTCGATCTAAAAGATAAATGACCCACTCACAAATTGAAATGGAATTGACTAGGAGCATTAGCAAAATCCAGCTTTGTTTATTGAAACATATTTCCTGTGTTTTCCTTGGTCATTTAGATACAAATATACAACTTGGAAAGTTGTTATAGTTGGTAATCAAAATAGTAGTAAAAATGGACATCTCAAGTGTAATTTTTGTTAAGTGTAGAAGGACTATATCGGTGGAAACAAAAAACATAAAGGAAAGATTTTGCTGCTGTCTTTTTTTTATTACTTACAGTATTAAAAATTAAATCCCATTCCTCATAATCTGTGTGTTCACAGTGCGGAACCTAAGTTATTACTCCTTAATAGAGCTACATAAGAATTCTTGTACCTTCAATAGCTTAGTTATAAGCTTGTCTTTAAAACTTCATTTAACCTTGAGTATTTTTGACTAAAATTTATGATTTTCTTTCTCTAGACTATTTTGAATAGTACAATACCAGAAAATACAGCAAGCAGTGGAAGGTTCAAACTTGACATTCTGAAAAATAAAGCTAAGAGATCCTTTACTAGTTCATTGGAAAATATCTTCTCAAGGGTAAGATCACACTGAGACTCTTCTAGATATTAATATCTATGTTTTCTAACTGCTTGGCTTCGTTCTCAACTGGCTCACAGAAGATTTCCTTAAAAAAACTAAGATAACTTAATTTAGTTAACATTTATTTAAAACAATCTCTCAAACTAAGTTTTATTATCAGATCTATATTTATTCTGGTGCTTATCTGAATTTGAGAAATAGAGATTTAGTAGTAGACGTATATGTATAGAAAAGGGAAAATAGAATACTGATGCCCAGTATTGTCGGAACTTTTTATCATTTGCCACATGAAGTTATAAAGAAGCCCTCCTTTGCTTATTTCAGTATAAGTTGACAAAAATTTATATATTCTTTTTAAAATTTGGAG